GGCTGGGGAGGGAGATCGACGCAGGACCAGCCGCGTAGGTGTCCCGATATCGGGGTTTAGGACGTGGCTCTCATTTCCCCAGACATAGAGGATGGCAAGGCACAATGGACTCCAAAATACAGACACAGGGAGAGGTCACACGCAACCACACGCGGCAAAGCCCCGCCGCCCCCGCCTCCCTTCGCCTTTTTTATTGTTCGTAGGATGCAATTTTAAAATACTCTTTCTCCTCCTCCCTCTCTCTCTCTCTCTCTCCGCTCCCTCCCTCACTCCTTCCTGGCCTCCCCACGCACACACCCTCCCCAAACTGCCAGCCCGGGGAGTGACCAGCCAGACCAAGATGTCATCGAAATTGTTTCACTTCTTAGTTTCGACCTTCTCCCGTGTCATCACTGGCAAGACCCAGGGAGCTGGCGAGTCGGTGTACAGCTGGCATAATTAAAACCTCGCCCGCTTAGGACCCTTATTCGCACGGCGTTAATCGCGGTAGCAATCCCGAGGCGCTCTGCCACCGGTCCCGCAGCCCTGGGAGCATCCAGCCCGGGGTTTTCCACCGAGGAGACGAAGGGGGGTGTGGGGGGGACCAAGTCAACGGCGAGGTTTCTGCCCTCAGCCCCGCAAGAGCCGCTCCGGCCTGCAAGCCGTCTCCAAAACACAGATTCACATCCAATGCTTTCTAGGCACCCTCTCCCCGGCGTTTGCCCACGCCTGGGAGCGCCGGGGCAGGGTGCGAGCACGTCCCGCGGAGTTTGCTGGGGTGGCTGGGGCGGGGGCGGGCGGTTTTTGCCTTTCTCTTTTTTTGTTTAAGTTGCAGTTGTAGGGTGGGTTTTTGTTTTCCTCTCAGCCTGGGAAGCCCGAGCCGTCCTAGATCCCGTTCGAGCCTGCGAAAGGCAGCGCGGGCTTTTGCAGATCGCGGTGCTCGGTGCTCGGCCGCGTAATTAGCCCCAGCGCCTCGACACCTCCCCGCGGCCCGCCCTGAAGGCAGCAGCAGCCGGTGCTCGGCCGCGTAATTAGCCCCAGCGCCTCGACACCTCCCCGCGGCCGGCGCAGCGCCCTGAAGTCCATTACCCTCGCAGTCCCACTTACTTGGATCGATCTGCGGTTTCTCTCCGTTTGCCTCACTTTCTCCATTGCTTTCAGAGAATGCGCCTTCGTGGCTTTGCTTATCCCTATCAACTGGAGGAGAACCACAAGCATAATCAGAGAGAGACAAAGTGTGAGTGTCAAACGTGGTACAGTCAGCCCTTCTGGCCGCCAGCGGTTCAGGTTTAATGCCGTAATGCCTGCTGGTAGGTAACCCGGGGAAAGACAAGGAGCCCGGCACAGGCTCAAGCCACGAACGCATGTACCTGCCGTCGGGCGGTGC